CCGGGCTCTAGGCCGGGACGACCTCCCCCAGGATGGGGGGGGGGGGGGCGCCGCGGCAGGGCGGGGCGCGCACCCGGGTCACCATGGTGCGCACCCATGGTCATATCGGCCATTGAGAGCGAGACTTCACTTCACGACGACTTTTAGGTAAGCAAGACTTCGTCTAAGTTTTGAGCTAGAAGATACAAAGTCACACTAAAACTGAAAATTTCAGGTACCTGGCTCAATTTGTTCTTGAGTTGTCGTGATGCCAGACAGACAGAGACACGCGAAACTTTTTGATTGTAATGTAGTAATAGGCTACGCTTTCGCTCAGCCAATAACAGAACAAATTTCAGGAGGGGAGGAAACCGATGAAAAGAAGTCTGGCAGTTTTCGCTCGTGACGTGAAGTCATGCGGTAATGAGTGAGCGACTTACACAACTCGGCTCACAACAGGTCGGCTTTATCAGCCACCGCGCCGATCGAGCCGGCGTGCATTCCTAGTCGATGATCAGCCGCGACTCGGTGAGCCGCGATGTCGTGCGAGTAGCAGCAGAGGCCGCCACACATGCACCAGCAGCGCACCATAGCGAGTTGCGGACCCAACGCTGCAAAGGCAGCATGTGTGTGTTCGGCGGCGCTAAGCTGAAACACGACGTGCTTGACTAGAAGCAGAGCAGCCTGTGCGTGGCGCGCTGGTGCGAGGTCTCCCTTACGATGCTCTCCCAGCCGCGACACGTGCATCGGATTCAAGTCACGCGGCGCGGCCGCGGTGCGCGCTGCCTGGCCCTCGGCCGGGTCGTACGGCTCCGCGCTCCGGTTCGGCAGGTCTGCCCTGGGGCCGGGGCCAGGCGGGTGGTGCTCGCGCTCCGGGCTGGGGCCTGCCCCCCTCCCCCCTCACCTATCCCGCGTTATTCGGACGGCGTATTGTTCTGAGCCCCGCCGCGCCCCGCGCCCCGCCGCCCCGCCGTGGAAGAGCAGCCCATTCATGTTTCGTGCCACACTGCCCCAGTGGCAACCTGCTCGGTGGCAACCTCGCGAGTCTCCGCCCGACCCGACCGTTTGTCAGTCGCGTTTCTCGGCGGAAAAGAGCGAGGCAGGTGAAAGACGGAAGTTCTGGTCTGGGTGGGGATGGGGGCAGCACGGAGCTTGGCGGAGGAGGCGACGCGACGGGCGATGGAGCGGAGGACGCCCGGGCGGTAGGCAGACCCGCCCGGCACGCCCGCG